GAGCCGAGTTCGGCGGCCCCTTTGCCTGCGACATCCTCGCAACCGTGACCGCGGAGATGCCCTGCCTCTTGGTGGTCAGGCCACTTTGGCCAGAGACATCCTCGCAACTCTAAGGTTCTGCGACGCCCTGAGCAGGCCACTGTCGCCAGAGACGCCCCCGCAATTCTGGCTTCGGAGATGCCCCGGCCCTCGGCGGTCCAGTGGGTTGCGAGGCGTCCTGAGCTGAGGGGGTCATGCCCCTTTCGCCCGCGACATCCTGGCATCTGCGACTTCGGAGGTGCCCTATCCCATGGTGGTCCGGTCATTTTCGCTTGAGACATCCGTCCTCGCAACTCTGCCTGAGCCTAGGTGTTCATGGCATTTTCGCCCGCGACATCCTCGCAACTCCGACCTCAGAGGTGCCCTTCCCCATGGTGGTCGAGTTGCTTTTGCCCGGGAGCTCCTCGCAGCTCTAGGTTGCGAGATGCCCTGGGCCGCGTGCACACTTGGAGCGCCGCCCACACTCCTGCGTTGGATTGGCGTCGTCGCCTACCACCTCCATTATTTAGATGCGTTATTTTTGCTCGAGGGTCAGCCACACCCGCTTCTCTCGCCCCCCTCGCCCCTTCCCCCGTTCGGTTCCCCTGCGACGCTTGTCCTGCCCATTTGTCCCCTGCTCTTTCTCCGAATATTCGACTCTGCGGCATGTGCGGGCACGTGCGTTTATGATCTCGGAGTTCTCCAGACTCTGCATCGGACTGTGCATCGGAGCGCGTGCGGCATGTGCGCGCATGCGCGGCACTGCTGCTGAATTTTGGTAGAGTTGCATGGGCATGCGCATGCGACTGCGCGGCATGCGCCTGCGTGCGCGGCCCCTTCGGACTTCAATTTGAATGTGAGAACAGAAGTGAGCGCCATAGGAATGAGTCTGGCACATGGTTCGATGCGGTCCAGAAATTTGTTGTACTGTAGTGTCGTTGATCGATATCAGCCCTCCCAGATCTCCCTGTGCTCGCCAGAGGACGAGTTGACCAGTCTCGCGACGAAGCGAGAAAGTCCAAGAGCGGCACGGATATGGAGGCTCTCGAGGACGCGCGTTCGCCCCTGACGAAGTAGGACTTCCTCTGTCCTGCGGGGCATATGCAATTCGCGCGCGAGAGGCTTCGGCAAGAAGGCATTGAAGATGATGCTGGCCCGCCAAAAGAGGAACGTCGAGCTGAACGAGAAGATGCAGGGCAACCCCCACGACGATGATGGAGGCAGCGCGGTCGCTGGCCACGAGGACCCCATCGTCGTCAGCCGCGCCCGAAGTTGCACCTGTGGCCAGGGCGACGCAGCGCCCGCAGGTCGCCATTCCGCACCTCGCGCGAGAGGCCAATTGCACAGCAGATGGGCGCGGCGGCTCTCTTCGCCCACTCCCTCGAGAAGCACTTCGAGCGGCGCCGCGACAACAACCGCGGGGCCCGCTTGTCTGGCTGGGCGGCGGCGGGCGCGGCAAGACGCGCACTCTGGAGACTCTGGAGAAGGCGGCCCAGCCGCTGGTCGAGACCCATTCCGGCCCGTGCGGGCACGCAGCCGCGGCACAATTAAATGCAGCGGCGCTGAATCTCGGAGACCATTCGTTCTCTCCACAGCGCCGCCGGGCCCCTGCTCGGCGCTTCCCGCGAAACTTCCAAGGCGCGCCTGAACGCTCAGCTGCAGAACAGAAAAGACCGGCTCACTGGCGAACTGGGCACCAATGTCATCGACGAGCTCGGCGCCGTTCCGGCGGAGATGCCGCGCGCCGACGCCATGCGGAAGACGCGCGCGGACTTGTCGCGCAATTTCGAGGCCGCGCGGACGACGGGCGGCAGCAAGATAATAGGCGGCTTTTGAGCCAAGCTCAAAACCACAGTCTGCCGCGAAGATGATCCTCGACTCCGCGACGCGCAGGGCTGGCACGATCGCGCCTGCGAGTGGCGCGGGGCGTTGTTCGCCATAGCGCGCGCGCGCGCGTCTGAACGCCGAGCGCGCGCACAGAATCCTCTCATGCCTCGCAGCCATCGACAGGCCTTCCGCGAGGCCCACCCAGAAGGACCACGACGACGCGCGCGCCTGCGCCAACGCCGGCGCGACCGCCGATCTCGCTGGACATGGAAAAGGCGCGCGCGGAGTGTTGCGCGCCACCTTGAGTGGCACGCGGCACCCCTGCGAAGATCTGCGATATCGGGCCCCGCCCGCAGGGGCCCCCCGCGACCGACAGGCAGCGCATTAATTAGGCGGCACTCTTGCGCGGTCTTGAAATTCACGCCAGTCGCCACCCACGGCTGGGTTTCCAAGTGGAACAAGAACTCCCTCGAGGACGACTCTGGCGCTCCTCAGCCTGGGGCGCTGGACTCGACGGGAGCGCCGGCCGCGACGCCCGTCGCGCGATCTCGGTCGCGCAATCCCATGGGCACGCAGGTCGCCGCGACTGCGACCAGGGCGCAAACCCCACTGGCGCCGCAAAAGCAGCGCACACTCCAGGACAGACAAGGCAAAACAGCACATTCTGGCAGCATTGCCCACTGGCAGTTCCCAGCCGGAGTGAAGGAAGACACGACTTGGCACGCGTGCCGCGCGCCCCTGCCCCGCCGGCGCAATCTGCGCAGCGCGCCACGGCGAGCCAGAACATAATGGAAGGCGAGCCCCCAGAGGCCACCGCTGCCGCGCTCGACGACTTCTCCCCCGAGAAGATCGAAACCACGGAGCGGGCCTGCGCGAAAGCACGCGCCGCTATGAACTGCCCACCGCGGCCCCGCTGAACATGGAGCCTCACGAGCCATCATCCCCATAGCCGCCCCCTCGCGGCATCGGCGGCGACAGTGACAGCTGGAGCAGCAGCGGCACCGCGCAGCACCCAGGGCCTCATCATCATCGTCGCACGCATCATCACCATGCGCAGTGTCAACCATATCGCCCGCACGTGGAACATCTGGAAATCATCTGGGGCAGAGCCGCCCGGCCCACTTTCCCCCCCGCACCTCAGCTGTTCTTAGGGTGTATTGCTGGGGCAGCTTTGCACCGAATGAATGACGCCGTTGCGCCGACCCCCAGAAAATGCGAGGGTTCGAGATGGCCTCGTGGGAGCAGGTCCTTTTGTTTTTGGATCCTCCCAAGGCTCTCTTTGGGGCGTAGTCGGGGCGTGTCCGGCGCTTCCAGGGCCATCTTGTCCACGATGGCTCCTTGGGCGTCGACCCTTTTCCCGTTTTGGGCCTCTGCGGCGCCGCTCGGACCCCTTTTCAAACCGTTCTTCACCGTCTTGGGGGCCTCGCGGGCATTATTGGGGCCCGCTGGGTCCATCTCAAGGCCCTCTTCATGGGCCTCTTATGCGAGGCCGCATTGGGCCAATATTGGCGGTTTGTTGGATGGCTGGCAGGACATGCCCCCGCCAATCGGCAAGCGCGCATGTAGCCATTTTCGGCTCCAGGCGCGCGCTGCCAGGATTGATACAACATATCATGCTTGCTTCAACCTGCGCCTCATTGAAGTCGTCTGGGCGCGCGTCTCGCGCTGCGCGCGCTGCCCTGATGTTCTGGTCGAGGCACTAAGGACGTGGGGCGTCAACAGCATCGATATCATCCTCGCCCGCTCGGGGGACGACCCTGCGGCCTTTCTCCGAGGCATCCTAGCCTCGGCCGCGCCCGCCACGTCCCCCGAGCGCGGCTGGCCCGAGTTCGTCAACGATCACAGGGAGTTCTTGGAGTACATATTCGAGCTTGTGAAGGCGATGGGGCACCAGGCGTCGCTCGAGAATGCCCGCGAGATCAGCCTGTCGCTGCACAATGGGCATTCGTGTTCAGTAGAAGGGGACCTCGTGGGGCGCGGCCGTGGCGCGACGCGCCTGTCGGCCCGATCGCGCGCGCAGGTCCCTCGTCGCGGCATTGCGGCTCCTTGCGATGCCGAAGGAGTGCCGCCCCTGCGGGACTTCAAGCAAAAGAAAGTGTGGGTCCAGAAGCTCTCGGCAATCCTGGATCACGCTGGTCCGGCGGTTTCGGTCCGGGCCGATGTGGAAGGGGCGGCGAAAGTGGCAACGGTGCCGTTGGTGGACATGGTTGAGGCCATACTGGGGCGCGGCGCTTGGCGCACGCTGATGGGACACGCGTTGGCGCGGCAGCGTTTCGAGCGACTGGTCGGCGCCGCGTCGAACCACAGCCTGCACCCGCCCTCCGTCGCCGCATTGGTCAGCTACGATGCAGCGCGTCGCTCCGCGAGCTGCGGCCCTGCCGTGCCGCCTGCGTTTCGTGCCGCAGCCGCGTGGATGCGCCGTCGGCCGGGCATCGAGTTCCCGAAATCTGCGCTGAACTCCCTTCAAGGCGATGGAGGACGACGTAGTCGAAAAGGTCGGCCGCGAGCTCAAGGAGGCTCCCTTGATCCACCTTGACCTCCTCCGAGTGTTGGAAATGCTCGCCGTCGCTTGGGCGGCCGAGGGCCGCTTCGTTCGGGTGGCCAGTGGCTGGGAGGTGCTCGTCGTGACATGGGCGTCAATGCCACCACGGGCTCAATGAAATGGCGTAAATTCGGAACTCACTCTTGGACCGTATGTGGGCGTCTTCCAAGCCCCTTGGGCCGTCCTGAGGCCATCTTGGAACGTATGTGGGCGTTATTCCAGCTATCGAAGAGGGTACATTGGGCATTTTTAGGCCTCGGTGGGAGGATGTGGAGGCTCCGGGGCCGAAGAGGTGCGCTAAGGCTGGAGTTCGTCGCCCCCCCTCTTTCCCAAGGGACATTGGACTCGAGGGGGGATGAAAAGGAGAAGGAAACAGACAACTGTCTCACCCGCTCTTTCACTTCCGACAAGCGTGGGTCGGGGGACATATGTATGCAGACCACATGTGTTCATGTGTGTGTGTGCGGTGCTCATCTATATATATATATAGAGAGAGAGAGAGATGGAGAAGGCATACAAGAGAGATGACGTGATGGTTTGGGGCTTGCTTGCACTTTCAAGTTGCGCACCCTCCGTTGTATCTCTCACCCCCGTCTTCGTCACTGGCCTGCAGTTTGTACTTTGTCGTGGCGTTGGCGACCGTCATCTTGTGCATATCGTGCTACAGGCTGCTGGCTTGTGCCTTCAGATTGGTTACCAGCGCAGATAACACTGATCTCATGTTATGTGACGTTCACTGGGTCTCCACGCCCCTCTTGGTATCTTCTTTTTGTAGCTGTTGGATCACATGCGATAGCCCTCAAGTCGAGATGTGTGCGTTCGTGTATTGCTACCTTATGTTTACATGTGTTCGTATGTGTTATGTGTCGCACAGCTTGGTGCAGACTGTCCCGCCAGCGTTATCTCTTTCTCCCTCCCTCTCTGTGTCTCTGTCTCTTTCTCTCTCTCTCTCTCTCTCTCTCCCCCCCCCGTATTTCCACACCTCCACCCCCGCGATTCCGCCACAGCCGCCGCATGACCGCACTTATTCAATTGCGAGATCTAACACTCTCTTGGTTTGTTGAGCTGGCGAGTTGACCAACATTGAGATTGCGTGTGTGCCAAGTTCAGGTTATCGGAGGCGTGGATAGATAGAACATAGCGTATGTGCAAGTGGATATGGTGTTGCCATGTGTTCGAAAGAGTACGTGGCCGAAAGGGCGTGGTGGGGCCTGGAGTGTATTGAGAAGAGAGTGCACCGCGTTTTGGCATCAGAGGGCGTACGTGTTCTCCGAGAGCATTGTGTTCTAAGTGCTTGCCAAGTGTTCACTAGGCGACCCGGACCGGTGTACCTCCCGAGTCCATTTCCATAGTATGGTACGCAAGAGGCATACGCCATTCCGCCATTCGTCTGAAGAGGAGATGAGCGGTTTCCAACTTCGCGATTGTTGTGGGAGTTATTGGGTGGCGTCTCTGGGGCCTCGGGGGCAGCCACTTGGAGCTGCTACTAGGCTCCAGGGGGCTTCTTGGAGGCTTGTTTGGGGGCCTCTTCGAGACATGTGAGGGGTCTTGCGGGCCATCTTGTCAATGTTGGCCCCCAGTGCCGCTATCAGTCCCCTGTCTTGGGCCTCTCTTGGAGTGTGTGTGTGTGTGTGTGTGTGTGTGTGTGTGTGTGTGTGTGTGTGTGTGTGTGTGTGTGTGTGTGTGTGTGTGTGTGTGTGGTGTGTGTGTGTGTGTGTGTGTGTGTGTGTGTGTGTGTGTGTGTGTGTGTGTGTGTGTGTGTGTGTGTGTGTGTGTGTGTGTGTGTGTGTGTGTGTGTGTGTGTGTGTGTGTGTGTGTGTGTGTGTTTGTGTGTGTGTGTGTGTTTTGTGTGTGTGTGTGTGTGTGTGTGTGTGTGTGTGTGTGTGTGTGTGTGTGTGTGTGTGTGTGTGTGTTGTGTGTGTGTGTGTGTGTGTGTGGTGTGTGTGTGTGTGTGTGTGTGTGTGTGTGTGTGTGTGTGTGTGTGTGTGTGTGTGTGTGTGTGTGTGTTGTGTGTGTGTGTGTGTGTGTTTGTGTGGGTGTGTGTGTGTGTGTGTGTGTGTGTGTGTGTGTGTGTGTGTGTGTGTGTGTGTGTGTGTGTGTGTGTGTGTGTGTGTGTGTGTGTGTGTGTGTGTGTGTGTGTGTGTGTGTGTGTGTGTGTGTGTGTGTGTGTGTGTGTGTGTGTGTGTGTTGTGTGTGTTGTGTGTGGTGTGTGTGTGTGTGTGTGTGTGTGTGTGTTGTGTGTGTGTGTGTGTGTGTGTGTGTGTGTGTGTGGGTGTGTGTGTGTGTGTGTTGTGTGTGTGTGTGTGTGTGTGTGTGTGTGTGTGTGTGTGTGTGTGTGTGTGTGTGTGTGTGTGTGTGTGTGTGTGTGTGTGTGTGTGTGTGTGTGTGTGTGTGTGTGTGTGTGTGTGTGTGTGTGTGTGTGTGTGTGTGTGTGTGCGGTCCTGAGGTTTCTTGGGCCGACTTGGGTTTCTTTTGGGCCATGTCTGGGCCTGCTCTGGGGCAGCTTGCGCCGTCTTGGGCCAGTCGGGGGAGCCTCTCCTGCCGCCCTGGGCTTGCAGACGCCCGAAAGGGCGAGAACGCGAGAACGGCTCAAAAACCGTCCCTTGGAATACCAACTAGTTGTACCTCTTGGAACCGTCTTGAAGCCATCTTGGGTGTTCTTGAGTCCTCGCAGGTATATCAGAGCTTCCCCCCAGTCGACGGCGCCCTCTTCTGAGCGGCAGCGAGGCCCGCCTCCTGTTTGTTTCTGCCTCCGCTGTCCTCTCGTTGCCTCTCTCCCACCTCCTGTTGCGCAATTCCCTCGTAGTCCGCTTGCTGCGACCTGTGGACGGCGTCCGTCTTACGGTGCGCTTGCGATCAAAAATGTACCCCAGCAGCCCATTCAAAAACCTTGGCCATGTTTGTTGGCGGGGAAAATGCCGAAGAGACATGTGTAGTTAAACAGAGCGGGCAACCAGGGTGAACTGAGAGATCGTTGGGAGCAAGTGGGTAGCCTTGGAGGGCCTCTTAGGGCTATCCCTGGGGCCCGCGTGGTGGCACAGGAAGGAGGAGAAGGACGACGACGATGACGAGAAAGAGGAGGAGACGGAAAAGGAAAACATGGACGGAGACGAGGAGGAGGACAACGACGACGAGGACAGAGCCTCAAAATCGCCCCTTGGAGCCCTCTTGGAACTCTTTTAGGGGATCCTCGGGTCCTCTTTGGGCTCTTGTGGGGCGTCGTGGGGCCCTCTTGGAGCCCTTTGGAGGGTCCCTGAGACGCCCTGGAAGGCTTCGTGGGGCCATCTTGGAGGTCATCGATCAAAAAGGGGGGGTCCTCGATTTGGCTTGTCCCCCTGGGGACATACACATCGCATCGTGGGTTGCTTGTGGGCGCTTTTGGGGGCGCCTGGGTGCCTCGTGGGCTTTTTTATTGGGCCATCGCAGGGCCATTTCGAGACTTCAAAGCACATCGGAAGCGAAAAGGCGAGAAGTCACAAGTCAGTGATGTTCTTGCTGTGTTTGAAGAAAGTGTTGGCCCCTTGGGGGGATCATGAGGGGGCTCCGAGAGCACTTGGAACCGTCCTGTGGCCCCCTTCGGGCCTTTTGGAGGTATGTCGGAAGCTATATTCAACCATCGTTAGTTGTTTTCGAGGCCAGCTTGGAGCGTCGTACGCTCTCTTGGAGCCACCTTGGACGCCCTCACCGCTTGCGAAATCCCCCCCCCCCACCCACCCAAAAAAAACTGCAGTTTAGGGGAGGGGGAGGGTACCCCTCCCCGAAGGGACGATGGTTTTTAGAATAGGGGAGATAGGTATCGCTAGACCACCTTAGCCCAAAGGACTGGTGGGATTTCTTTGGGGGCGCATGTTGCAACCATATCCCTTCTTGTCGGCACTTGTGAGCGACAGAAGCCTGCGTTACGATGAATTGCTGAATGTTGAAACGGCCCCCATCCTTTAGAGTCGAAGCGGTGCAGTCAGTGTCCTTGTTATTATGATAAGTTGGCACGTCCAGTGGAGTCGAAGCAGTGAAGACAGTTGTCTCGTTGACTGGCACATCTGGTGGCGGAAGTGGCCCCGACCAAAGGGGAAGCGCCACCCACCACTGTGCAAGCTTGCAGGCAGGATCTTGCTGGCGCTCTCAGGCTGAGTCGAGGACGAGAGCGTCCAAGAAAAACGATTCGTTCCGCGTTCTCGAAGAAGAAAAAGCGCCAAAGCTTTATGTTTGTAGCGTTTGTTTTCCTTCTAAGTTCCCGATTCGATGCTGTCAGGTCGTACACGCTCGCTCGCGCGTCCGAGCACGGGTCTGAGATCCGCCACAAATACGCACACCGACACCCCGAGGAGATTGCTCCTGAGCCTCAAGGGAGGGTGGCGGTGTATAAATGGCCACTGGGTGCCAACGTCGGGCGGTGCCAGGACAGCGATAAACCTTCCCATAAATTTCGGGAACGCGATCAGAGCATTCCAGAACGCTCTAAGAAGATCTCGGCGCCCGCTGCATCCGTCAGAACCGCCAGATCTCAGAGATCCCCGATTTGGTTTGGTCCGATATTTTTCCTGTCCTGGATTCCTCTTCAACGGTTCTATACGCTGCCACCCTCCTTGAAGGCACATCGAAAGCTCGCCGGCGAGTGTCTTTGCATGCGGTAGGTTCGCGCCGCGTTGACCCGGCGGCGACCTCAGCGCGGGCGTTCAAGGTTAGACGCTGCCAGTGGCCCAGAATCGGCCGAGGTCGAGCGATCTGCGCTGTCAGAGGGCCCAAGGCTTGCTGCTTCGCCGTCGCGGCCTGCAGGCTCTCCGCCCTCGACTGCAGGAACTTCTTGAGCTTCGCGTCGCTGGTCTCCTGCATGGCCTCCGCCAGGTGGTCCATCTAGATTCACGCGGCGTCAGAAACCAACGCCCGCGACACCGCGGCTCGCGAACCTGCCGTAGAGTCTCGTGGCGCGTGAGCGCGCGCTCACCGAGCGCCGCCCCGCCCCCGAGCGCGCGCGCGCAAGGCTGCTGATGAGGCTGGAGGTGTCCAGGCACGTCAAGCTGTCGGTCGGCGACGCCGACGTGGACTCGGCTGGCAGCTGCCCCCCGAGAGCTGTGTTTCGGGGGCGGCCGAGAGGGGGGTGATGACCAGGGGGGGTGGATATCATGGCATGGGCCATGATACTTCCTGAGATTTCACGGCGCCTCTTCTTATGTTAGTGGCTTTCGGCCAGTGCCGCCGATCCGGGTCGCTTGGTGTGCCCCCCAGAGTGGGCGGCGAATTTCCGCCGACAGACACGCACGCACACGCACGCAGACATTACGCGCACACACGCACACACGCACACACACACACACACACACACACGCACGCTCACGCTCACGCACGCGCACGCGCACACGCACGCGCACGCGCACGCGCACGCGCACGCGCACACGCACGTGCACGTGCACACGCACACGCACACGCACACGCACACGCGCACGCGCACGCACACGCACACCCACACCCACACCCACACCCACACCCACACCAACACCAACACGCGCACGCGCACGCGCACGCGCACACACGCGCACGCCCACGCCCACGCACACGCACACGCACACGCACACGCACACGTTCACGCACACGCTCACGCACACGCACACGCGCACGCGCACGCGCACGTGCACGCACACGCACACGCACACGCACACGAAGACACACACGCACACACACACACACATACACACACACACACGCGCACACACACACGCAAACGCACACGCACATTCTCACGTACACGCACACGCACACACGCACTACACACACCCACAAACACACGCACGCCACACTCACACACGCGCGCCACCATTGCAGACACATGCACACGCACACGCCAGCAACGCACACACACACATACACACACGCACACGCACCACACACAGACACACACCGCGCAAACACACACACACACATACACACACACACACACACACACACACACACGCCACACACCAGACACGCATTTCACCGCCACCTTCGTCCTCCCCCCCATTTGTTACCCGTTTTCCGCTCTTGTCCCTTACCACTTCTCCCCCCCTCTTTCCCCGATATCCTTCTCGCGCGCACGGACAAACATTACACCGCGCACGCGCACACCCCTCTCCCCCTCCGGCAGAGCCACCCCGGCAACCCCCCCAGAGGCTAAAGTTCAGCCTCGAGGCCCCTTCACTCTCACACGCCACGGCCCCCCCCCTTCCCCTCCCCCTCGCCATCAGAACCCACGCCACTGGACCCCCCACCCCTCTTTTCCCCCAATGTCCCTTGTCCACAGGCGGGACGGGGGACTGGACCCTCCCCGGCAACACGACCCCCCCCCCTCTCACCCCAATTCCCCCTGTCCACAGGCGGGGCGGGAGACAGGACCCCCCCACCCCCCCACGCAGCCGGAACCCACGCCACCAGAACCCCCCCCCCTCCCCCACCCTTCCCCCTACCCCGGCAGAGCCACCCCGGTCATCCCTTCCCCCTTCAACTCACACGCCAGATCGGCGGATTTTATTACTTCCCTGGCCCACCCCCCTGGGCCGCGCGCGTGCCGTTGGCCATGATTTGCGCCCCGCCCTCTTGGACGCCCCCTTCTTGGCCGCCCCCGAGAGCTCTGTCTCTGCTAGAAGTGTGACCCCTCAGGCTCTGCCAGCCTCGAGTGAGCCACAGGAGCCCTTGCGTGATCTTCAGCAGCCCGACGCGGGTAGCGAGAGGCCCCTGGATCAGGATGTCCCACTCCTTTTTGCGAGTAGGGAGCCTGCCGCTGGTAAGGCTCCGGGCTGCGCGCAGGCAGGCCTGCAAGGCAGCAGGTGGCCTCAAAGGGCCCCCCGAGCAAACCCAGCTGGCCTCGAGTGGCCCCCCGAGCAGTCCGGGGCGGACTCACTCGGCACCTCAGCCTCAACCTTGGGGCGCGGAGCGCCCCGGGGGCGCCGCCAGAAGCGGCGCCAGGGTGTTGTGACCGCCCGGGACTACTCAGGGGACAAGTTGTCGGGCGTTCGGTAATGGGGGGGCGATAAATGGGAGGGCGTCGAGGGTTGCACGAAAGGGGCCCCAAACGAGCCCCCCATAGGGCCCCGAAGGGGTACGAAAGGTGCACGAAAGGTGCACCTTTCTTACCCCCTCCATCTATCGCCCCCCCATTAGTCAACGCCCGAAGTTGGGGCCAACTGGGACCACTCGGGGGTCTTGTTGAGGCGGACAGCTGGGACTGCCTGGGGGCGCCGTCTGCGCGCAACCCGAAGGCTCAGCACTTGTCCCCCTCGGTGGCCGTCGTGGTGTTGGCCCCTCTCGGTTGCCCGTATGCGTGAGGGCGTGCTCACAGCTGGCTGGGCAGATACACATGGAGAGAGTCGGAGACAGAAATCACATACAAATTACCTCTTCCGAGGTCCGCGTGGAGTTCTCGGATCGGCGCTGGGCCCTTCTGGCGGCGCCTCTGGCGCCGCCCCTGGAGCGGGCCCGCGCGCCATGAAGTGGGGCCGAGTGCCGATCCAAGAGATCCGCGCGGAGCTCCGAAAGTTTCTATGCATGTTGCTTGCATGTTATCGTGTTGGAGTGTATCCTCCTCCTCCTCCTCCTCCTCCTCCTCCTCCTCCTCCTCCTCCTCCTCCTCCTCCTCCTATCCTTATTCCTTATTAGAATATACTCCTACTCCCCCCTTCATCCGGGTGGTCCCATCCTAACCTGCATTTTTCTTATTTTTTCCTCTCGACATGGACGTCCTGTCGTCCACGGCGATAATCCATTGCAAAAAATACCACAAAGAGCACACGCGCGCGTTCATGTCAGAATCCTACCGAACACCGTGTGTTTGCAAGCATTTCAACATAAAAACATCAAAAACCCAATGCTTTTTCACGAAAATTGTACAAATTTCCCGCCCGGGCTCTCTTGCTGAAATCATAGGAAAACCATGGGAATCTTAAGAATTCGGTCAAATCCAGCGATTTCACGTCATCGCGCGGTGCACTCGCGATGCTCTGTCATGCACCCAGGCCGCGAATCCTGTGCAAAAAATACCACGCGGGCGACATGCGCGCGCGTCGCCGCGAGCGCATGCTCAAATCCTTCTAGAGTCGTCGCCGTCATTGGCACCGTCGCATGGACGTCCTGTCGTCCAGAGCCGGGCTTCCTCCGGCCACCTCTGGCTTCCTGCGGTGTACCGGGCCATTCTCGACTCGTCTGGCAATGCGTGCGCGGCATTCAACACGCGCTCGCCAGTTCCCGTCGGCAACCGCCATCGCGGCCGCATCAGCTGTACCAAACCGGCTGGCCGGTGTGACTTCGGCCCCCAGTTGTGCCAGCTTTGCTTCTTATGTTGTGGGAGGGCGGGTGGGACTGGGCATGCCATGCTTGACTCGCTCGAGCTGGCTAGCTTGACTCCTATCCTTATCCTACTCCTACTCCTACTCCTACTCCTCCTCCTCTCAAAAGAGTGATATATACATCGGCATCAACATCCACTTTCGGAGATCTGCGCTGAGTTCTTGGATCAATGCTATGCCCCTCCCTGGTGCGCGAAGTGCGCCAGCGGCGGCGGTGGAGGCGCCGCCAGGGAGGTCAGTCGCCGATCCAAGAAATCCACGTCGCCCTTCGCACATTGTTGTTAATGCGGGCCTGCTGTTCCTCCATCGTCAGGGGAAGGCTGAAGAGAAAGAGGGGCTGGAGATTGGTGTTTGTCACGTCCATGCCGCACAAAAGTTGCAAGAGTGGCCCTGGCGAACCGACGTGACGGAAGTGGAGCAGTTGTCAATGTGCAGACAGCCTTTTTTCACCTCATCCGTGTTGTCCAGTGTTGCCAGCGCTCCCTTGTTCGCAACGAGTTCCCCAGTGCCTCTCCCAGACACTCGGCATGCGGCATGTTTGCTTACCGCGTGCGCGGTTCATTCGAAAACCAGAGGTGTCGGTCAGCGAATGTTCGCCATGCTGGCCCAGCGATGCGGCACGCTGCGAGGATCAGCGTTCGATGTTGTGTGGTAGTGCGGTGGCCTGTCCGTCGACTCAGGCACCTACAGACCCTCTGGATCCCCCAGGAATCCCCTCTGAGCCCTAGAACCCCCCCGAACCCCGTGGCAGACCCCCTGTCTGCTCGAGGGTGAGGAGGAGAACGGCAATGGAAGTCTCCAGAGGTATCGGGAGTCCCACATGAGGCCTCCAGAGTTCCCAGAGGCCTCACAGTTGTTGAGGACGCGCAAATGTAGAAACCCTCGTGAAACTCATCCATGTTTTCTTTAACCGTCGGAGCAGGAGGAGGAGGAGGAGGAGGAGGAGGAGGAGAACAGATAATAATAAGAAGAAGAAGCAGAAGTCGGCAATGGAGATCTCCAGAGGTCTCCAGGGGTCTCCCGAGGAGCCCTACGGCCTCGAGAGGGCCCCGCGGATCCCCGGGTCCTCGTCTCCTCTCCGCTCCCGCATTCCGGCGGCACCCCCCCTAACAATTTTGGCTTGGGGCAATCGAGCCAGTTTCAAGATCGCCATGCCAGACTGCAGAGCCACCTGGCGTGGGCAGGCTGCGTCTCATGGAGGCCCTGGAGCTTTCGGCAGCAGCAGGAGGACGAGGAGAAGAAGAAGAAGAAGAAGAACCCGCCGATCCGGCGTGTGAGTTTCTGAGAGCGTGGACTTGAGCTCGCTCAAGCTGCGCTCTGGAGGAGGGGGGTCGGGGGGGGGGACGCAGACGACGAAAACCGACGAAAGAATTGACACGCGAGGGGGGGGGGGAAAGGAGAGGGGGGGGGGCTCGCTCAAGCTTCGCTCTGCAGGGGGGGGGGAGCGTCAACGACGAAGAATTGACACGGGGGGGGGGGAAGGAGAGGGGGGGTGGGGGGCCAGGAGAGACGGGGGGGACAGGAGATAGGGGGGGAGGAAAGAGGGGGCGGGGGGGAGGGGGAAGGAGAGAGGTGTGGGAGGGGGGGGGGGGAAACAGGAGAGAGGAGGGGGGGGGGGGGACAGGAGCGAGGGGGGCAGGGGGGGGAAAAGGATAGAGAGGGGGGGAGGGGGGGACAGGAGAGAGGCGGGGGGGGGGGATGGAAACGAGAGAGGGGGAGAGGACAGGAGAGAGGGGGATGGGGACAGCAGGAGAGAGGAGGGGAGGTGGGGAGGGGGGCCGGGATCATCACCATCACCATCGTCACATCACCATCATCATCATCATCATCATCATCATCATCATCATCATCATCAGCATCAGCATCAGCATCAGCATCAGCATCAGCATCATCATCATCATCGTCATCGTCATCGTCATCGTCATCATCATCACCATCATCACCGTCCTCATCCTCATCATCATCACCATCAGCATCATCATCATCATCATCATCATCATCATCATCATAATCATCATCATCATCATCATCATCATCATCATCATCATCATCATCCGGAGCGTCCCAGATCGGCGGCACTGGCCGGAGGCCACTACAATAAAAAAAAAAACTTACGGCCGACAAAGAATAATTCCGCCCAGCAATATCTATCCCTGCGGATCCGTAATCCAAAAGGTCTCCCCCAGAGGCTTTCAGAGATCAAGAAAGGGCAAATAACCTCAAGCACGCGCAAAACCCTCGGCGATGGCGAGGAGATGCGAGGAGGAGGAGGAAGAGGAGAAGGTGGTCCTGATATCCTGAAATGCTATTTCGACCGTCTTGTAACGCCCGTGGAGGCCGAAAACGCCGAGGAACCTCCGCCTTGATTTTTCCCCAAGAAGTTGGAGGTCTGGGTAGGAGGAGGAGGCGGAGGAGGAGGAGCAAGAGGGGCGAGTGCCTTCTGGCCTGGCGTGTCCTCCGCGGGCTGTTTCCTTGGCCACACCTGATTATCGGGGCGCGCACGCGTCGGTCGCATTGGCATTCCGACCTTGCCGCGATGCTGCGCAGGCAGCTGCCGAGCACAAGACGAGGGGCGAGGAGGTAGAGAACTGATTGTCATGATGTCGACGCGCGGTTCGTGTCGACCCGAGCGATCCGATTCGGTTCGATGTTGGTTTCGGCCGGCCCGATCCGACTCGATTCCGATATTCCGGGGCGTGGCGTCGCTGTGCAATTTGTCGCAGCCCGATTAAGTCCGACTCCGACTCCGTGCTGGTGCGGCTTGATTCGATGTGCGTTCCGATCCTGTATGGACCTTATTTGGACGATGTTCTCGAAGTTGGCCCCAAGAGGGCACCGAAAGTACCCAGCATTGCCCCAGCCTCCGAAGGACCCTTCGAGCAAAGTCAGGAACAGGAGCGTGACCACGACACGAGTCATGTTTCGAAGAGCAAAAAACGCTATAGACATAAATTTGTGGCGCTCCGCGCGGATTTCTTGGATGCGCGCTGGGGCCCCCCGGCGGCGCCTCTGGCGCCGCCCCTGGCGCGCTCCGCGCGCCAGGGAGGGGGGTCCAGCGCAGATCCAAGAAATCTGCACGGAGCGCCAAAAGGTTCTGTTTATGGGTTTGTTCCATCCTCTCGTGTTCGCGACCGCCACCGCGCACAGCATGGTGGACGATACTGTTCGGAGGGGCTCGCGAGCATTAGATGTTCCGCAAAGTATGCACCCTGCCATGTTCCGGGCGAAGGCCAGCATACCTTCTAGTGTACACGCGTGCGGCTCCGAGACTTCGGTACGGTCGCACATGGGTACGGAAGGACAGGGGGGCGAAGACCAGCGGCAGTTCCTGTCCACCCTGAGCAGGAATCGCTGTCGGTGTCGCCGCGGACGGCGTCCATCTGAGACCGGCGCCTGCCCAGGGCAGCACTTGCTGGGCGTCGCGCCCACTGTTCCGCGCGCGCGCTTCGAGCGCGCAAAGCGCGGGTGTGGAGATTTTCGTGGCGTCCACGCCGGGGGCGGCGCGCGCTCCCCCCCCCCCGCCCCCTGCCCCAGGCGGCCTTCGCGACTCCGCCGCGCTCGCCGATGCTGTCGGCGACGTCGCAGTACACCTCGGCGGGGAGCGGCTCGGGGGCAGCGTAGGGGGGGGGGAGTTCAAGTTCAGGGCTCGGGGGGGATGCATCGACCCCCAGTCGCCCACTCATCGCCACTCGAGGACGAGGTTCGAAGAGCATTTTGCCCCATATCCCAAGAGGCATGGTGCCCTTTTAGCAGTGAGGCACCAGCGCCTCACTCCTCGCCTCCTACCTTCACCCAGAGTCGTTCAGGCCGGACTTCACAGTGAGGACGAGGTCGAAGAGTTCTCCCGTATCCAAAATATGGGGCTATTGAAATTATCCAGCACTGAGACCTCCGCCTTCCACTCATCCCGCCTCGTACCTTCACCCAGAGTCACTCAGCTCGAGGATCGAGCTCTGGGGGCCCCAGGTGCGCCACGTGACCCAGCAGGGGCACAAGAGTGCCAGGCGCGCATGGTGCCGCCATATGGGCAACGTGCCACAAATGAGAAATACAGTCACACGGATAGTAAGGATGAGCGATTTCCAGGTCGCCCAGTATCGTTAAATGACCCCCATCATATCCGAGCCCTACCATCTCACATCCCAGTTGGGAATAACCCCTGAAACCCGAATCCCAACCCCATCTAGAGGGGTACGGCCAACGGGGGGGCCAGGCCACCAGTGGAGATAGAGATCGTTTAAATTATGCTCAGTTACCCATGCATCCTTCCTTCGGCCCATCCTGGCCACTTTCGCTGCCGCGCCCGTCCTCGAGGAGGGTGGCATGCCCTTCCGAGGCACCTTGCTTTCTTATGCGCATCACAATTATTCGTTTGGCTGTCTTATGGCAGCACGCAGCGGCGAGATACGCCCACACACGAGCCATCCCTCCTTCTCCTCCTCCTCATCCTCCTCCTTCCTCCTCCTCATCCCCTCCTCCGCTCCTCTCATGCTCCTGCTCTCCTCTCCTCCTCCTCTCTCCTCCTCCTTCTCATGCTCCTCCCTCCTCCTCCTCCTCCTCCTCCTCCTCCTCCTTCCTCCTCTCTCCTCATCTCCCCTCCCCCTCCTCCTCCTCCTCCTCCTCCTCCTCCTCCTCCTCCTCCTCCTCCTCCTCCTCCTCCTCCTCCTCGTCAAAACAGGCGCAGGGTGGCCGCGGAGTGCCCGCTCGGGGCCCGGGTGCTGGCAACGCGTGCGCTCTGTGTCATGTCTGTGGGCAGAGGTGGGCGGGGGGTCCATGCCCGCATCCTTTAGCCGGTCCCCATCCCCATCCCCATCCCTTTCCGAGACCTCCACCATAGCACCCCCCAGTTGGGGATACACCCTTCGAAACCCGAAGGAAACGGCCTATATCCCCATCTAGGGGGTAAATCGGCCAGGGGGGCCCAGGCCACGCCACTGGGGATGGGGATCGGTTAAACGATACTCAGATGCCTGGCTGGCGGCGGGTCGGCTGGGGGAGGGGGCGTGCACCAAGAATCGGAGGAGGAAAAGGTACCCATACCGCTACCTTTCGCCCGTTTTCCCCTTTTTGGGCCTCCTGGGAGGCCCTCGTCGCCATCGCTGGATTCGCCTCGAAAATCTGGTCAGAACGCACCCCAGGAGAGGTCTGAGGAGCAGCAGTATCGGTGCCTTTTGGTTTCCCCAAAGAAGGAGCAGTGATAAACGATCGACCCTTGTCGAAGGGCAGGAGGGAAGTTAAAACGAGCACCTCGCTAAACCACCTGCGCCCAAAAGGGTTGTATGATTCGATCGGGTAGTAGAAGGAGGAGGAGGAGGAGGAGGAGGAGGAGAAGAAGAAGCAGCCAAGGCACGGGGAGGAGCACCATGGATGAAGGACAGGAGGAGGACGACGACGACGACCGAGGGAGGAGGACGGAGCAAGGAGGAGGGAACGGGGAGGACACAGTCAAGACGCCGAAGTAAAGAACAGTTCGGGGCTCGGAGGGGGCTCGAGATTCCTGAAGTCCTGCCCTGGTTGTTGCTCTAGTCCTCCTCGTGCACGCAGGCGCTTTGGGGGCCCAGCAGGGGCTTCGCTCCGTATCGATCGTTCCTTGTTTCAGCAGCCCGACTGCAGTGGAGGGAAAAACGGTCATGGGGAGCATGGGAGGGGGAGGCGGAGGAGGACGAAGGGGGAGGAGGAATGATGAGGGAGGAGTGGTGGGGAGGAGCCGGGGGAGATGGAGCGGTGAGTGACGAGGGGGGGGGGGGGGCACGGAAGGCCCCCGAGCGCGTGAAAGCGGACGAGGAGGAGGAGGAGGAGGAGGAGGAGGAGGAGGAGGAGGAGGAGATGGAGGATGGAGGAGGAGGAGGAGGAGGAGGAGGAGGAGGAGGAGCTTGAAGTGATATGGCTTAGGGGCGCCTTAACCCCGTTAGTGGGCCCAGTTTACTGGTGTCACCACCCTCTCTGGCACGGTGGCCCTCTGGATCAGAGTGGCCGGAGGCCATCTGGAAACGTAGATTCTGGCACGGGCAACTTCCCGAATATCCGCCCCTACAGAGACCATGTTGTACGATAGGTCCCTCCATGGTTGAGCCTGGCGGCCCCCAGGGGCTGCATTGGCGCTCGTGCCGAGGATGCGCTGGCATCCCCCGGACCAACAAGCGTTTCAAAGGGCACGAAATAGTCGTCCGTGACACAGACCATGCCCTGTTTTGGCGCAGAGGCTGTCCGGCGAACGTGGCCGAAAATCGGGGGACAAATCCTGCCCCCCCCCCAACGGGACGATCGAGGGCGATCCCTGGAACGCTCTCGGCGAAGAGGGCCGCTGCCCCGGACTCGTTTTATTCGACCGGCGGTCGAAGGAGCGTCCTCAGTTCGACCTTCCTGCTTTCGACCCACTGTCGAATCCGCAAGTTGGGCTGGACACAAGTTGGGCCCGCCAGCGGGCCCGACTTGGGTCCAGCCCGGGAGCGTGCAGCGGCAGTTCACAGACCTCCATAGCCTGCGCCACTGTGGGTGACTGGATCCCCAACCTTCGACGCACCGAGTCCGTGACACAGACCATGCCCTGTTTTAGCACAGAGGCTGTCCGGCGAACGTGGCCGAATCTCGGGGGACAAATCCTGCCCCCCCCTCAACGGGACGATCGAGGTCGGCCCCTGGAACGCTCTCGGCGAGGAGGGCTGCTGCCCCGGACTCGTTTTATTCGACCGGCGGTCGAAGGGGCGTCTTCATTTCGACACTCCTGCTTTCGACCCGCTGTCGAATCCGCAAGTTGGGCTGGACACAAGTTGGGCCCGCCAGCGGGCCCGACTTGGGTCCAGCCCGGGAGCGTGCTGCAGCAGCTCACAGACCCCCATAGCCTGCGCCAATGTGGGCGAGTGGATCCCCAACCCTCGACGCACCGAGTCCGTGACACAGACTATGCCCTGTTTTAGCACAGAGGCTGTCCGGCGAACGAGGCCGAACCCTCCTGCTTTCGACCCGTTGTCGAATTCGTAAGTTGGGCTGAACCAGGTTGGGCCCGCTAGCGGGCCCGACTTGGGTCCAGACCAGGGGCGTGCAGCGGCAGCTCACAGGCCCCCATAGCCTGCGCCACTGTGGGGAACTGGATCCCCAACCCTCGACGCACCGAGCCCGTGACACAGACCATGCCCTGTTTTAGCACAGAGGCTGTCCGGCAAACGTGGCCGAAACTCTGGGGACAAATCCTGGCCCCCCTCAACGGGACTATCGAGGTCGGCCCGTGGAACGCTCTCGGCGAGGAGGGCTGCTGCCCCGAACTCGTTTTATTCGACCCGCGGTCGAAGGACCGGCCTCATTTCGACCCAAGGCGGGCAACGATGACGACGACGACGGCCAAACGGCGGCATACGAAGACGACGACAACGACCAAGCGGCGGCAGAGACTCTAATTTTTCTTGAGAGCGACCGAACACTTACCAAGGGGCTCAAGAATCACCCCCAACGCACTTGTGATCTAGAGATGTGCTTTTAGGGCCCCATTATTGCCCGAGGTCGGTGACCGTTCGAGGCCCCCTTGAGGCCTCGCCTTCTGGGAGGCCCTGGAATTCACCGAAGTCGGTGACCTGTCGAGGCTCGTGCTTGCGCGTGCGGGCCCAGGCGGGATCTCTAATCGCGTTTACGCGGCCTCCCAACGGGTCCCACCCTGGGGCACTTTTTGGCCCCATTTGGGACCCTCTTGGTGGCCCCTCTTGGGAGCTGCTTGAGTCCCTCTTGGGGGCTCCTTTGGTCCCCGCTCAGGGGCGAAATGCGGGAAACGTTTCCCGTTCGGACGCAACCTAACAACGCCAACGTGAGCAGCCCTCGGCAGCACAATCACAAGCACGCACCCACATACAACCAAACAACGCCAAAGTGACAAGGGCCCTCCGCAGTGCAATCACAAGCAATCGCACGAGAAACGCTTTGACAGTATTGACGCCGGCAGGGCTCAAACTTGAGCCCTCAAGTTTGGGTTCACAATTGACCCCACAAGAGGATGGAGACTGAGCTCAAACTTGACACTTCAAGTTTGGCTCAAACTTGACCCCTCAAGTTTGGGCTCGAGGGAGGGAGGAGACCAGCGTCCCCCTCGGCCGTTTCGGGACCCTCTGGGATGTTCTTGGAGCGATCTTAGTGGCCTCTGGCCGCCTCGGGCCACGCCGAGCGGTTTCGGCCGACCGCGCAGGAGGCCAGGAAGGAGGAAGACGGAGGGAAACCAGAGTCTGGAGAGGGAGAGAGGAAAAAGGGGGGGGGGAGGGGCAGGGAGGGAGGGGGGAAAGAACCCGAGTGAACCTGAGGACCGAGATGCATACGCTTTTCGGTTACCTGAGGTGGTCCTCCTCGCATCCCCCCCTGGGGCACTGATGGGGTAGACCATGGAAGAAACACTCCAGGGGTCGACAAGGATAGCGCTGGCAGACGCGCCGCCGCCGCAGCCACGGCCGAGCTCCGCCGCCGCCGCGGCAGACACGAACCCAGGGCCCTGCCAACCACGCCGTTGCCCGGGGATCCAGAAGGCGCTGGGGGGCCTCTCAGGAGGCCGGCAGAGGCGCCGCCGGAGGCGTCGCAGCAGGCCCAGGCCGGCAGCAGCAGCAGCAGCACCGAGGAGG